CACCTGGACATGCCGGGCCTCATTCGGCATGTAATGCTGTTTGAATACAAGAAGAGAAACGACGCCTCTGTAGCCAAAAATAATATCAAAGAAGTTTATGGAAATGTTGTGAACGTTCGTAAATGTTAAAGATGGTTCAGCAAATTTCGTTTAGGTGACTTTAGCCTTACAAACTGTGATGGCAGAGGCCGACATTTGGTGAACGTTCGTAAATGTTAAAGATGGTTCAGCAAATTTCGTTTAGGGACTTTAGCCTTACAAACTGTGATGGCAGAGGCCGACATTTGGTGAACGTTCGTAAATGTTAAAGATGGTTCAGCAAATTTCGTTTAGGTGACTTTAGCCTTAAAAACTGTGATGGCAGAGGCCGACATGTTGAAATTGATATTGATGTTCTGAAGATGCTTGTTGAGTCCAACCCAAGGCAACACACTCGTGAAATGGACCTGAAATTGCATGTCTCTCATGAAACAATACGTAAACATATAAGGAATAGGAGAAACTCCACATATGGCACCATCAGATTACCATCTTTTTCGTTCGCTGCAGCACCATCTTAATAGGAAAACGTATGCAAATGTGGAAGGCGTTAAAGAGGACATCGACATGTTTTTTGCTTCAAAGCTAAATGATTTCTTTAATCAGGGCATTAACAATCTGATTATAAGAAGGAAAAGCATTATCGATAAGAATGGAGACTATTTCATTTAATAAATGTTTTGTTTTGATATATAAGTTGTTCGGGTTTTTACTTCTAAAAAAAGCGACATTAATTTCTTGAGGACCTGATACTTAAAACATGGTATACACTGGTTAGAGTGACTTTGTAAGAAGAGGTACCCGCTAAACTATTGACGACGGTAGGTGTGTTTTCTGTTATCCGCTTTCAACGTCCAACTCTTAATGTCATTTCAATGTGTTTCACGTTCTTAGTTAATTGACGTTCATTGGCCGCAGAAGTTGTGAGGTCACGTATCAAAGTAGGAAGTGGGTATATCTCAAGAAACGACTTTTCATATCAACCTTATGGTAGCTGTTGGAATAGAACTTCATCTGAGTTTATGTTTTGTGGTGGCCATGTTTTCTTTATTGTATTCCTGCATAGAGAGTGCTAGCGCACTATCTGAGATATATAAGACGTTCGTGTGCCCTCCCCCACACTGTGTTTGTTGTGTTATGGAAAATTTAATTAAATTCTTTTTTGTGTGTATAAGGACGTGGCGCCATCTATGAATGTAGTTAAAGTTATCTTACGTAAAAGATAATAAATGCTCAAATACAACAATAATTGGGATGGAGGGGGTTTGTGAACACCCATAAATATGCCTCTTGTTCTAAACTATCATTCTACAAAGTTTGATTATGATTGGTCCAGTGACCTAGGAATAATTAGATAACGAACAAACAGACACAGAGATTTTTGTGCTTTATATATACACCTGGAAAAAAGTTAAGCACCCCCGTGTTTTTTTCAAGTGATTCAGATTCGACGTTCTTGTGACTGATTATAAATTACCATTCAATCTAAACGTGTTT